GCGGAGTCTGGGGAGATTGGAGGCCAATCGCAATACAATATACAATAGTACCGTACATGCTGTGACACCGTACGCGACACAATTCATGGCTGCTTCGGCCCGGGAGCTGCTTGATTGGAGATTGAGATGGAGTGCAAGTGATTGGACCTCTAACGTCCGTTAGTGACCGACAAACCGCCCGCTAAGTGGACGTGCGTTGTGAAAGAACAAAGTAGATACAAAAAGAAATCGAACGATGCACACAGGCCGCACACAAGCCCGGGCTAAATCACCAGATGCATTTATTCAATTGATTGGTATAACATTTGTGATGCACCTTGCACCTTGCATAATTCATCACTGCTGCTTTTGTGCCGCTCCGGACTCATGTAGTCTCCCTTTTTAAGCGCAGCGGCATTATTGCTTGTGCTTGATGTAAATGCCAACCTACCTAGCACAGTTATGAGTCATTCGGTCCTCCGAAATACGTCCAGTCTGATCACGGAAGGCTGAGGCGTTCCCTGTGTCATAGCCCCACCCAGTAGGAGCGCCCATTCGGGTTGTGGATGGAGGACACTGTTGGAGCGGTGACTCCCCACTCGTACCACACCTGCCACCGAGGTACTCAACATTTAAGAAGATTCAGGAATTGCAGTCGGGGCATGCAACAATTGCACAAACAGAGTAGCGTGGTATTGACGTGCTGGCTGCCCCGCAGCGCATTGGCGGAGGGCGTCACCTTGGTGGGCCCCACGCAGCGCCAGAAGTGCACCTCCAGGTCGGCCCCGGCCGGCAGGTACAGCGGGCTGCGCAGCGGGAAGAAGATGGCGAACCTGCACACGTACGCTCGCTGAGTCAGCTGGACCGCACATGCTCAGCCAAGCACAGATTTCACGGACGGCACAGAAACATCAGCGAAAGAACTGCTTCTACCAACGTCTGGCCGGCGGGTGGCCTGCAATACTGTCCGCCCTGCCCGGGCCAGTGCACGAGGTGGCGGTGGAGGCTACGGAGGCGATTACGCTGACCAGGAGAACATGCCGGGGGTGGCGGTGGCGGGCTCGATGCCGAGGTGCACGTCCTTGTACAGCACCGCGTCGAAGTAGCCCGCGAACCCTGCCACCACACCGGGCATACGCCGCGTCAGAGACAGCACGGCCAGCCGCGGCGAGAGAAACAGCTAGCAGGGACCCAACACACAGGCAGGGATTGTTCTACCAACATCCACGTGTCCTCCACTGGCGGACAGAGGTTGCTGCTGTCCAAGCCGGTGCCGACGAGAGCCGGGCGGCGCTCTAGCGAGGACAGCCGGAGAGCTGACCGTGCAGAGTGGCAGACCCGGCGTCCTCGTCAGTAGAGAAGACGAGCTTGGTGTACCGCCGGTTGTCGATGACGGCAGCACGATTCGGATGGGCGAAAGTGAACACCTGCAACGCATCCGGGCGCGTCGTTAGGGCGGGCCCGAAGACAACATTCGACCGCAGCAGGTCCAGTAAACAGGGGAGCACGCGACCAAGTGATGCGTACGGGCTTCCGTGCAGGCGCCCATGCGGCCCGCGCCTCGGTGGGCGCCCGTACCGGCTGGGGCGGGGAGAGCGTGGCGACGGAGTGCAGCTTGACGACGTAGGCCGTCTCGAAGTGCTCCAGGTCGTTGTACGCGCGCACGTCCGCGTGCAGCTTGGCCGCAGTGATGGGCGCCAGGTAGCTCGTGTACCTGCGCATGCACGCACCGTCAGCCAGCAGCAGGGCGGCAGCCACGGGGCAGCCTCTCGCGGGGAGGGACATGGGCAAGGTGGCCGTGCGCGGGGCATGCGCGCGGCGTGGGGGGAGCGGGGCTCACTCTGCGGGGATGGAGATGCCGTCCGGCTTGAGGAAGCGCTGCGCGCCGTCGAGGCACTCGGGGGACAGCTCATTGTCGCCGAACGAGCCCAGCAGCTCGCTCACCTGCAGCCCATAGGGAAACAGGAGGGACGGTGGGGACCACGGAGCAGGGGCAACCCAGAGCCGGCAAAGGACCGCAGCGGCAAAGAGCGAGAGCAACGGGCCACACGAGCAAGCGGCAGTGGACAAGGCAGCAACGATCCGTTCGACTCAGCATGTGGAGCTGGGACAGTGCAGCCCGCAGAGGGCGGAGCGGGTGGCGGGCTCACCAGGATGTCCGCCTGCTCGGGGGCGTCCCAGGCGCGCATGTCACACGACACAATGGTCACCGAGTCCTGCCAGCCCTCGAGGGCCACCAGGTGCTGCACGCCAACCGGGGGAGAGAAGACGGTGAGAGGCGACGCGAGAGCTGCTGCAGGATGGCAAAAGGAGCACGACAACACAACAGGCGGGCTACAGACACGGAATGGCGGTGGCAAGGGCACACCATGAAAGGGAGCCCGCTGCCATTCAGAGGGCCTCACGTGTAGGGTGACGACGGCGTTGGGGTTCTTCTCGACAGCATACACGCGCACCCGCCGCTGCGTCTCGTGGGCTGCGGCCAGCGATGCGCGCACGAGCGGGCCGCGGCCAGCGCCGACCACCATCACAACCTGCCCCACCGCGCAGGGCCCGCCGTCAGCGCACACCCACAAAAGACGAGGCGTTTCAAGGAGAGATACTGGGTAGAAGTGGACAGCCTGCTATAACCGAAATTCAGGACGGCGCTGCGGCCTTCCCAGCTCCCGCTCATGCTGCTGGTGCTCACCGTGGTGGTGGCTGCGGCGTGCTCCTCCGGCACCCGGTCCCGCAGTGCGCCCGCAACCGCCAATTGGTACTGCACGCACCAACACCGCGGCGTTCTCAGCCTCAGCCGGACTTACTGATCGGCGCCGTGACTGGCAATCTCATGCAGACCACCGGGCTCGCTAAAGGGAGGGAGGGGCACACAAGGCAGGGGCCTACAGGCACAGCTGGCGTAGGGGGGCGCTAACCTGGGAATACTTTTTAGCGTCCTTCTCGAATGTTTCGTACGTCTGCGCCTCCAGATTGTCCATCAGCGGCTGCAACGGGGCCTGCAGGAAGTCGCGGTACCCAGCCTGCACGAGCCGCCATCCCGCACGTCGTCACGAAGGGAAAAAGCGCTGCAGGAGCGAGCCGCTGCTCCTCCACACTGCCCGCATCGAGGCCCAAGCAGGCTTGTCAGCGGGCACGACCCACACACACCGGTGTTGACAGCCAAACGAGACTCTGGGAGGGAGGGGAAGAGCCACGTCGGCAGGTCGACTGTGCTGCGATGCAACCTCACCTCGAAGCGGTCCTGTTCCGATGGCGGGGGGATCTTCTGGTACAGGTGGGCAATGTACTCCAAGTGAAGCCGCAGCGGATGGCGCGTGGGAATGGTGACATGGCCTGCGCACATACCGCAGCTATGTCAGCCTGGGCGAGCAGGTGCGGGTTCACGCCACAGCCGCAATTGGAAACGGGCATCGCCAGGACAACAGTATGGAACTTGCAGGAGCCAAACTTTTGTGAAACGGATTCCCAAGCTGACCCTATGCCACACATGTACAACTGTAATATCGATGTCAGACTGAGTCGAGGAGCTCCGTTGCTGCTGTTGTCCACTACTCCCCCACCGTTGCTCCCGTCCTCTGCCGTACTGGGTGGCCCCACTGGTGCTGTATCGCCTTCTACGTCCAGCGGTGCGCCGGCGGGCGCAGAGGCGCTCGGGTCGGGGTCGGTGAGCACGACCTGGATGTTGTGGCGGAAGCAGGTGGCCAGGAACTGCTGGTGCCGCTTGGACAGGCACGGGAAGCCGCGCTTGTTGCTCAGGAACGCGCCACTGCTCAGCAGCACCGCGCGCATCGGCTCGCCCTTCCACCGCTCCAGGGCAGACGCCGACGGCAAAGACGACCTGAACGCAAGCAGCAGGGTCAGACGGGGAGGGTGGGGGACGGGGGGGAGGAGAGCAGGCTGACCGACAGAGGGACCGCCAGCCTTCCATCGCCGCAAGGGAAGTGTGGAGTGAAAGTCGACCTGGTCCAACGCAAGACATAGTAAGATCCGAAAAGGACACGTAGGCATGCCATTACATCCCGGTGACATGCCCAAAGACCACACAACTTGAGCAGACAATGAAATACCCCGAATGTATCAAGCACGCCGTTGACCGCCCGCCAAGCTATACACAGCACGTGAGAGAGAGCCTCACCCACAGTCAAGCGCCACCGAGAGCTGATTGTGGTGCTCGCACAGCGTGCGGAAGTGGTCCCACCACTCCCACGAATCATTCACCCGCCTCCCCGACACCGCCTCACGCTGCTGCAGCGCGACGCCCAAAAGCACAGGGTCACCATTTAGGGACAAGCGAGAGACACGAAGCTTGGCAGCCGGAACATTAGGCACAGCAGGCACAGCGCGCAGGAGCCACCTCGTGGCGCCTTGCTGCAGAGGAGGGGGGGTCACCTGCGCCGCGGCGTCCTCGTGGCGCGTGCCCTCTGCCGCCTCCAGGTCGGGCGCCAGCGCGGGGATGCGCAGCCAGAGCTGCGTGGCGGAGGTGGCACTGCCGCGCAGCACCTGGTTCACGCACCGCGCGTAGTTGCCACAGCGCAGCGGGAGCGGGGGGGGCAGCAGCACGGCCTGGGGGTGCGGGGCAGAATATACGGGCAAGTCAGATCCGAGGGGCGCCCAACAAGAGCCCGTGGCAGAGATGCGCCAAATGCAGAGCACGATGGGAGCCCCACTGACTCCTTCCCCGCCTGCTGCAGTGGCCCTTAACAGCAACTGTCGATGCTGTGAGACTTGCAGGCCCCATCTCACACAGAGAGGCTCCCCCAACACTCTTCCCCCTCTGGCATCCAGGATCTGCTGCGGACAAGCCTCCTCTAGGCCCGAGCATACAGGGCGGCTGCCGGCATGCCTTGCAGTGCAGAGGCGTACCTGGAGGGAGAGGTGCGTGGCCCAGCTGAGCTGCTGCTTGAGGGCCGTCTCGCTGTCGCGCGCCACGCCGGGGTCCCCCCCGTCCAGGTCCAACCACGGCGCCACCTTGCCTGCACCCACAGCAGCACCCGCGTGGGTACAGCGGACAGGATGCGACCACCCCGACCATCGCAGCAGGCAACAAGAGACAAACATGGGCCAAGCGTGTGGCAGACAGCGAAATCGGGGTCCTGACCTACGACGTGGCTGCTCCACTGGCTGGGCGCCAGGTCGAGGTCGCTGCCGGCGAAGGGGATGCGGGGCGCACTGCCATCGGGGCTGCGCTCCACCGCACTGGGGCGGTACAGCGGGTCCACCTGCAGGCAGGAGGAGTAGCGCTCACCACATGAGCCAGGGCGCGCACAGGCACGCAGCCACACAGCCTGCCCCACGACGGGCAGTCCAGCACAATATGGCGTGCAGTGGCAGCCGGTGACAGCCACAGCAGGCGGGCACAGCTCGCGGTGGCGGTGCGCTCACCAGTGGGGCGACGACAAAGTCAAAACCGGCATCGAGGCTGGAGTGCAGCGTGTGGGCCACATCTGCGCTGTAGGCCGCCTCCACACCACAGTAGCGGCTCTCGCTGGGATCGTCGCTGCGCTGCGCCAGAGGCATGGCGGCGCGACTGGCCCGGACCCGGGAGGGGGGGGCAGGCGGAAGGCAGCGCAGCAAATGCACAAGCGGGGGAGGAGCAGCGCAATGATGGGGGGGCGCAGCAATCAGCGCAACAAGGCTCCGCTGCTCACAATACGGGCAGGCATGAACAGAAAGAGAAACTAGTGGATATCGGCGAAGATCAACCAAAGCAATGCTCAATGGTGGGAAGCCCCAGAAAGCGAGCTCACTCACCAGTCGAAAGCCGGGCGCTTGCTCCACCTTAATAAATGTTGCTCCAGAGCAATGCCAACGGCGCAAGAAACTGGTTAATGCATCCGCTGCACCAGGCAGATCTCTGTCACGGTCGGCGCGATCATTACGAATGGGAATGGTTTCGAACAGCCGGCCCGTTGGGAACTTTCCGCTGCAAAGCCAATATTGGCACGCATGTCTAGTTACGGCCGGCCACCTTGTGAATCAGCAACTTTGCATGGCATTGTGCCAATCTGTCACAGATTCTGTGGGGCAACTTTGCGCGTTGCTGTTCTTCGTAAAACTGGTGAAAGTGGGAGGACGGCAGGCCGGGCGAGAACCCTGGACAAGCCGAAGAGGCTGTGAAAGGGTTGAGCTAACAAGGTAAGCACGCTTGTCACATGAACCCGCGTTCTTGCTCAGGTGTGTATGGGGCTATGTGGGGCAAGATAGTGTGCTCATTACATTTTGGGATGTATGAGAGTTTCCTCAGTGCATCGTCCTTCCTTGGGTGATTGTAGTTCAATGAGAATGTTCAGTTCTCCGAGTGTAAGATTCTTTGACTTTAAGATACAGGGGTGCTTGGTTATATGCGAGGAGCATTACCCACTGCCTATTGAACGACCCAATGAACGACCCAGTTTGTGTAAATTTCTGTGTCCTCATTCATTGGTGTTATTCGGGCTGAGGTGGCTATGCAAACTTGGCAATTGCTATTTGAGTACAGAAGATTGAAAAGATTGGTTTGAGCTAGTCTGGTAATGGTCACAGCATCACACTAGACTGGCTTGAGTGTGTTTTTCAAATGAAGCTTCTCTTCAGATGTGAGGGCCAACACCAGAAAAGCATGCCCGTGGGCTTTAGTTTTTGTCTTGTAGGGGGGGCCTAGCTGGTTGCTTGCGAAGCAGACTGAGCATTAATAGCATAGCAGAATCCAGGGCTTTGCAGCGCACAATCGGGTGCACCTGCCTCTAGTACGTTCTGCATCTTGGCTCTGCAAGTTGTGGACCTGAGAAACCTATGCAGAGTTTGTGCGAATAATTGGCACAGCTAGTTCGTTCCATGGCCAATCCCCGGCTGCACAGCGGTGACCTGGGCAGTGTCTCTGTTACGCTGGCAACGGCCACTCCGTAAGGTATTCTGAACGCACTGTGGCTGGGCTGCTTGCTGCAGATGAATCGGGAGAAGCTCGCCAAGATGGCCAGCTCCGTTAGGACGGGGGGGAAGGGCAGTGTCAGGAGGTGAGCGCGTGAAGAAGCAGGGACTGGCAACCGCTCTTCATTGCCAACGGTGCTGAGGAGCATTGGTGCTGTCCCAGCATGACCAATGTATGCATGTATGCAATCACAGCGTCGGCACAGGGCGCATGGGATGCCTTGCAGCAAATGTGGGCCGACTGGGGTTGGGTGGTCAGGGTGGCTGGGCCAACTTTGGTGCGTCGCACACAGATATTGGGTGGAAAAACATGTGCGGACCTTTTGTGCCTCTAGAAACGGCCGACTGCATGACAGGCAGGTGGAAAAGGGGTGGGGCTGAACCGCATATCTTTCTTTACCTGGACAGGAAGAAGAAGGCTATCCACAAGACAACCACAACAGACGACAAGAGGTTACAAAACACGCTCAAAAGACTAGGAGTGAATCAAATACCGGGCATTGAAGAAGTCAACATTTTCAAGGACGAGACTGTCATTCATTTCGTCAACCCAAAGGGTAAGTCCTCATGTTGCCACATCAATGTTCCTTGACATATGAAGCTTATACTGTTGGTGAGAAGAATCCCCTTGCCTACTGGAGAGACAGGCCCGGTGTTCGTTGAGCATTTATTGTAGAGTAGACTGGAGAGTTGGACCCGCCCTTGCTTGACTCTATTCTTGTTCCCCTTGACGTGCTGCTGACCTGCTGCTCCCTGCGTCCGCGCAGTCCAAGCCTCCATCGCTGCCAACACCTACGTCGTCAGCGGGACCTCCCAAACAAAGAGTGAGCGAACCATCAGCCGTGCACAGCAGTGGCCCACTGGCGGATGGGCTTTGGTGCTGCGATGAACGTCCTTGTGTCGCTGGCGTGCACACGCTGAGGCAGAGGGCCAACCACATGGGCCCACCAGGCTCAGGGCCCCCCCGCTTGCCCCCACCTGTCCATGCTCGCTGCCGCGCCTCACCGCTGTCGCCCTGCCCTGTGCGTGCAGAGCTGCAGGACCTGCTCCCCGGGATCATCAACCAGCTGGGCCCCGATAACCTGGCCAACCTGAAGAAGCTGGCGTCGCAGTACCAGGGCCAGGCCGGCGCCGGCGACGCTGCTGACGATGACGATGACGACGACGACGTGCCCGACCTCGTTGAGGGTGAGCCCCCGGTGCCGCATCCTGGAATTCAATCTCCAACAGGGAGGCATGCCGATACTGAAGCCTTGGTATTCGACAGCGGTTGTTCCCCTCGGTAAGAGGGGTTACTGCGTAGTCGGCCTATAGGAAAGACTCTGTAGTTGGCTTATGGAATCAGTTTTTTTCAACTTGTGAGTGTTCTCAATTGTGACTTGCTCCCTTGCAGGTGAAAATTTCGAGCAAGCTGCAAAAGAATAAATGATGTAAGATTAAGGGTAAAGTTTGTTCCACGGATCTGTGTCGACGGTCTTGGTTTCAGAACGAGGGGGTAACATTGTGGGCCAATCCTTTGTATAGACAGTGACCGCCCTGGCGGCTGCTTGTGTCGTGGAGACGCAAATCATGTCCTCCACTGAAGTTCTGTTTCCACTCTTCTCAAGTCGGCTGGTGATCGCAAAGCTGTGCACGGGGCCTCTCGCGCGTCATGTTGCCAGACGTTTCCTAGCTCGGACTTGCCAACTTTATGTCGCATACTCTATTGGTGCATGTGTCCGAAGAAATGTACAGCAGATTGGTTGAATGTGCGAGTCGCTTGCTTTATTGAATGCAATTTGGAGAGCTAGAAGGGGCTGCGTCGCCAATACCGAAACCGTCAGTGTATGGTATGTACCCAGGCTTTTAGTGATAATGTATGATGTATAAATGAGCTAGACAGCTTCGAACAATGCTATTAATACTGAAGATTCACATGCATGGTTAGCCTGTTTATTGAGTAGCCACTAGAGTGGCCCGGGTGGTCCGGCTGTGGCCTGGCACATGAGCTACCATGCATGTCACGGTTTGACGACCATGCTTTGCAACCCGACAATCCGACATACACCGTCACCATGCAACATAAGTTCCTTGCCAGTACGGTAGTCTGGTACCCAGCAAGCAGATTGGCACAGCGGCCCGGCCATGAGCTGTGCTAAGTTGCTCCTGGCTGCACTGCAGCGCGCACAGCCGCCGGCCCTACCGGGACTTCGATCGATCTGAATGCATGGTAGCTCGCCGGCGGCTTTGCAAAATTGATCGACTAGCTTTGTCATACCGGCCGTATATATACTTGCCGGTGGACTCCGGGAGCTACTTATAGCATTAAAAAAGTTATCTTGTCTATAGCCGGGTATAGCTAGATTCTTCTTAGCTCGAGCAGCATATGGGACTATATAGTATAAGCCCGCTCGAGCCTTGGAGGCTAATGAGCTAGCGCCTAGCGGTTAATCAACAAATTTGCCTTATCAGCAGCACGCTAGGGCCGCAAACATCTTGATTTTTGAACAAATTTTGCATATTAGGGTTTTGAGTTTTCCCGGATTTTCGGAAACGACGTCATCTTTGCGTTTTTCAGGGGAAAGGAGAAGGTTTTGGAGTACGGAATCGGCTTGACGCGATAAATTTGGGTCACACTAATAATGCGCTTTCAGGATCTGCAAAAAATTTCAAATCGGAGCTCAGGGTTTTAGGGTTTTCAACCCTTTTTTGGGTTTTAGGGGCTTTAGGGTTTTAGAATATTAGGGCTTTAGTGTTTTAGGATTTTAGGGTTTTAGGGTTTTAGCGTTTTAGG